TCGTCAAGTCATAGAAGATGCCTATTATGCAGGTGGTGCAAGATTTCCTCCATCCACAGTATTATAGAAAGATCCCCATATACCCCATATTCCATCTACTTAAGGGGAACCATACTATGGGCCTACTGTGCCATGAGGAATGCCGAAGCACCTCGCGCAGGTCGAAAGTGTCACCGCTCGGGATCTGAAGCCTTTTCAGCTCCTCCCAGGCTTTCTAGGTTTGACTATTACTATTGGGGATATATAGGGATAATGGAAAAGAAAATGGAAACTACTATAATGGGATTATTTAGTGTTTAGGCTTTCCAGGAGACAGAGTTGAGTGTTTAGGGTTTACTCCCCTATGGTTTTGGAGATTCCTGGGCTCTTTAGCTCCCCTTACTATGTAGATATAGATTATCCCTAGCTCCTTAGCTCCCCCCAAAAGTATGGGTAGTTTAGGGTTTCGGATGGGTCAAGCAAGTCAACTGTCAGTTCTGTCACGGCCTGGGTCGCACATGGTCGCACTGAGAGGACTTGCTTAAGACACAAAATGCTTGCACCGCTCCGTCAGCCAGGCATCAACGATTTCTGCGCGGTACGTTCCAGTGAAAGGCCTGGCCGGATGACACATGCAAAAAGATGGCACAGCTACGGAAACATGCGGAAACAATATGTTTCACAAGCTGCTGATAGATGGCGCTATCTGCTGCATGCAACAGCGGAAGCCCTTAGGGCTGCAAGAAAATGTCGCATGCGCAGTTGCATGCGCAATCGCATGCACTGAGCAATAACATGCAATAACGATCACCATGCATGTGAGTGAGAGCATGCCACATTGCAGGATGCAAGCCATCCCTACAGTGTGGCCCTAGGCAGGGAAAACATAGCAACACCTGGCTACGATGGTGATGGGAGCCGTGCTCGGCACGTACGATGACCCACACCATAAACTGCTAGACAAAGGTTACAGCGCGTCGATCAATCTAAATTTCAGGCTGACGATCGCGTCATCCAAAAGGTTGCCTGGACCTTCGTGAAATCACAACATACCCAAAATCGAAATCCTGCTGTCTATATGTGTGCAACACGTGGATCGCCAGACTTGACACGTTCTCGGTGAAGCAGAAATGTCCCGAGAAGGAGTCACACACGCGCAAACGGCAAGCAACGGCTGAGATCATTGATCACAACCTAGCTTATTCCATGAAGATGAAAAAACTTGTGGGCTGCGCGCGCAACTTCGAGAAAGTTTAGTCTGAGGACTTCACAGGCTCCTGGCCTATGAGTTCAGCATTAGAAGTTGTCACCGTCTCTTTGGCTGCCACTTCCACATCAGGTTCTTCAGTGCTGTGAGGCTGGATGCATGTCTAGGTTGCTGTCAAGGAACTTGAATCAAATTACTAGAATGAGGCAACCCTATTATTTACCATATACCCATACTATGGCAACTTAAACCCTCAACCCTAAACCCTAGACTCTACCGACCCATATGAGCTACTGTCTAAACTCCTAGTATCCCCCTTCATATCCCCTATAGTAGTCCCCTATATAATCCCCTATATAACCCCCTTTAAGGAGTTTAGACTATAGCTCATATTGCTTAACAGCAACCGAGTAACTCTTCGGGGTCCTTGGGTGAGGATTGCGATGCACATCGTCGCCGTTGGAGCCGCACAGCAGACAGCGGCAAAACAGCACCTGTAATCCCCCCAGGTTTAGGGTTTAGGGTTTAGGGTTTAGGGTTTAGGGCTTCAATCCCCCAAATTAGGGGTCCCCTTTAAAAGGGGTTATAGGGGTAATAGGGATAATGGAAAAGAAAATGGAAACTACTATTTAGGGTTTGGGGTTTAGGGGTTTAGGGTTTAGGGTTGCCCTACAATAACAGTATCATGTTCAATACGTCCTTAGGCTCATATTATAATGAAAAACCTGAGGGCTGATTGAAAAGAGCATTTTTGTTCTAGGTGGATACTTGAAATGATGAAAATCTAAAAATATTCCTAAGAGGAGATCACAGCCACACCCCCGCAACAAGGGGTCGGTTCCAGTCCAGGACTGCGTAGATCGGACACCGCTCATTCTCCTCATACCGCCTGCACCCATTCTTCATACCGACTCGGAAAACAAAATGCAGGAAGGACCAGCAGCCAAAGGCAAACAGGAACATCATTAGCAGGAGTCCATATCGCGGGGAAAAAGGGATGCCGGACACAGCCAGGTCAAGGATGCACAGCAGTGTATTGGCACCATGAGAGAATACGGTCAAGTACTGCACGGTTCGACCTGCTGGTAGCCCAACAGCTGCAACCAGCGGCCAGAACCCGATTCCCACCAACACAGAGCCCGGCACCGCTATGTGCATGAGAGCTACTTGGACCTTGGCATAGAGGGGAAGATGCACCGCTGAGGTGTGATTTGCTGTAGCAACAGCTTTTTGAGCCATCCATGTGGTCAAAGTTGCAGTTGCAAAGTAAAACACCTGCGTCACGAGCATCCAGTTTGTCAGTGCGATGGCATAATATCCACCATCCCAGTGAAGCAACAGGTGCGTGAGCAGATGCCCAGAAAACAGGGCTGTCAAAGCAATGCGAAAGGCAAGAAAGGCTCGTTTCCATGTTGGCCTCCATGGCGATGTCCCAAAGATCTCTGGCCAGCTTGCGTTCTTCTTGCTCGCACGCATGAGGGTGAGATGGGTCTCATTCCCTCCCGTATTCCAGCGGCCTAGCCGTGCGCTCATGGCGATCAGAGCTTGCCCGTTGTCCAAGTGAGACTGTGCTGAAGCCAACACGGCTTTCGCACCGAACCTTCTCAACGGATGGGCAGAGGCACTCCAGACCGCAAGCTACATTGCTCTGCACTATTCATCGCAGAACTCCAAGGGTCATCACTATAATTACAATAAATACTATTGTTACTACTATGAATACCATTATTCCTATTGTGACTCTAATTACAACTATTACTAGAATTACTAGAACTGCTGAACTACTAGAGCTATTCAATAATTACTAGAACCGCTCCAAGTACTACCTAGAATTATTGCACAGGCCAAGGCCACCCGTAGTAAGAGATCGAGGCAGAGGACAGGAAGACCTCGGCATTTGTCCAAGAAAGGTTTAGGGTTCATTTTTCAGGGTTTAGGGTTCATTTTTCAGGGTTTAGGGTTTAGGGTTTAGGGTTTAGGGCCCCTGCATGGTGCCTAGTGACCTACGGGTTTAGGGTTTAGGCTTTAGGGATGATTAGGATTGAGGCTTCAGGGATGATTAGGGTTTAGGCTTTAGGGATGATTAGGGTTTAGGCTTTAGGGATGATGTGGGTTTAGGCTTTAGGGATGATGATGGTACTTGGAGGGTCGGGGGGACTTAATACATAGGTTCATAACTCCGAAAAATCCATATAGTAACCCTAGTTATCCCAATTGTTAGCCTACTTGTTCAGTCCTCCTGACCCTCCAACCCTAATATGGAACCACAATATTGGTAATCATTTAAACCCCTATATCACCCCTAAACCCTAAACCCTAAACCCTAAACCACAATCTTGGTAATTGCTTAAACCCCCTATATCACCCCTAAACCCTGAACCCTAAACCATAATATTGGTGATTATTTAAACCCCTAATATCACCCTTAAACCCTAAACCCTAAACCATAATATTGGTAATTATTTAAACCCCTAATATCACCCCTAATCCCGAAACCCTAAACCCTAAACCCTAAACCATAATATTGGTAATTATTTGAACCCCTAATATCACTGTGCACCCGGCATCTCCGGTCAGGTTGACGATGTCTTGGCGGATGCTGGCCACAGTTTCCCGCCTCAAACGCCACGCATGCGAACTTTTGCAGGCGCCTTGTGACCCCTATGATTCAACATCAAAACGGCCTCTGTGGGCTAAAAACTACATGGGGGTTTCCCAAGATTAGGGGTACCATTTTAGGGGTCCCTATACCAAGGACTATAGTATTTTAGGGTCTACATTGGGGTCCCCTTATTTAGGGAAACTACCACATCGCCCAAAGCACCCTGTGCTAGCTGCCGCTCTCAGGACAGATCCAACGAATGCCCTCATCCTTCAAGCCAACCGTGAGGATGTCCGCTCTTGCCAATCTGTCCTGCAGCTTGACTTTCCTACAGGTGCTTGAGGGGAAGTGGGGAAGTGTAACTATTATACCATTTTCGGGGTATATATGAGCTATATCTAAACTCCGGTATGCGCTTCAATGGCCTCTAGAATACTGCCCGTTATAATCCCCTATATAACACACCTTTAAGGAGTTTAGACTACAAGTCATATAGGAATTATTATAGGCATCGCAGAACCATCCTAAAAACAACATGCAGGTCCTTGGTGAGCTGCGCCTCTGCCACCAGGCGGTCCTTCCCAAGCAACCAGTTGAGCTATAGTCTTAGCTCCAAGTATCCCTCTTAATCATCCCCATAATACTCCCCTATATAATACCCTTTTAGGAATTTGGACTATAAAATAGTTGGTAGACACAGGGCCCCATTCACTGCCAACCGTCCTTCTCGGATACCGTGTCGTTGAGCTTCCTGAGTGCAACAACACTTCTGAAAGAAACGCCTGTCTTCACTCCACGCAACTTAATCTGTTTTGCAGCTGCGGGTGGTAGTTTGAGTCGGGAGCCGCAAACATTAAACTGAGGGACCTGGTTGTTGGAAACTCCTGGTCCACTGGCATACCCTTGAAATAGCGGACAACCCACTACAAAGTTGACAAAACGCAAAGTTGAACTCCTCATGCGATTGCCAAGCAGCTTCTGCAAAGCTGCCACTTGCGACTCCACCTCGTGCAAATTGTCCTGCTTGGCCTCGCACAAACCATGCAGTGAGACTTCCTAATAATATGGGAAATAGTAAAAGTAATAACCATAATACTAACTGTAAAATAACATGGGAAATAGTAATCATAACACTGACTGAATAATATGGGAAAAGTCATTGTTTGCAATAATAATACTAACTGTGGTAAGAATACTAATTACTAACCATAATAGTAATATATATGCACCCGTTCTTTCATCAATTCGTGGCATCACGCGTCATACACGTCCTGGCATCGCTCTCGCACGGAGGATGTCACTATGAAATCCAATGCGCTTGCCAATGACTGGCATCCTTACATGATACGGCTGGAGTTTGGAGAAACTTTGAAGCAAAACCACGAGCCTATGAAGCAAACCCACCAACCCAACAGTGATTGCCTAGCTGTCGCTGGAAAGGTCAACAGAAAACTGGCCTTGAGCTCAGCATTAGCTTTGGCCAACTTGTCGTTCAGCTCCGCGACCTCAGCAGACACGTGACAGGAATGCCGGGCATGTTTAACACAAAGAAGTGCAACACACCCAACAGAACCCCAACAACAGCATAGCATTACGTAGCTTCAGAAAATTGCTGGAAGCCCTAATATAACCCCAACATATACCCTAATACTACCCCAATATATACCCTAATGGTACCGCAATATATACCTTGATGTAACCCCAATTTATACCCTAATATTACCCCAATATATACCCAAATGTTACCCCAATGTATACCCTAATGTAACCCTAGTATATACCCTAACGTAACCCCAGTATATACCCTAATATAACCCCGAAAAAATCCTAATATTACCGCAATACATATTCTAATGTTACCCCTATATATATATATATCCTAATATTACCCCAATATCTCAAAGAGAAGTGCTACTACTTTGCCCGCCTTCTGCTTCTTTGGCTCTACCTCCTTAGCCACCTGGCCACGAATACGCGCCCTGACTTTTTCTGGCACAGAGGCCGAGATGTCACATATATATATATATGTATACTGGGGTTATATAGGGATAATGGAAAAGAACATGGAAACTACTATTTAGGGTCTAGGGTTGGTTGGGGATAATGGAAAATGGAAACTACTATAGTATTATAGGGTATATACAAGGATATATTTGGGCTGAAAAAGGATAAGGGAAAAGAAACTGGAAACTACTTTAGTATTTGGGCTGCAAGAGTAAGGTTTTGTGGTTCAGGCGGAAATGCTGACATTCAAAATTGATCTGATCGAAGAAGCACAGCTGTATGAGCCAGGGGGAGCCTTGGAGTCAGGTTAGGATTTTTGACCTAGGGTAAACAAAATCAAAGAGCACTCTAAAAGGAGCCCTAAAAGGGTAAGTGCTCTTTGATTTCTTGGGTTTATATCCCTATTACGGCCATAAAATCCTAACCTGCCTTGGAGTAGGTGTCCATGGCATAGGTCCACATGCACAAGCTCTTGGCGGCCTGCAGCTGGTGTCTGCGTTCCCCCGCATGTTCATGGTGAGGCTGCAGGTCATACAGTTGCAACTTTACATGTCTGCGAAACAATCTGTGAAGATATACCCTAAAATCCCAATAATGGAGAATCAAATGGAAATTGAATTGAACGCAGCTCGAGCGTGCTCTGAGCTAGGCGGGCACTAATCAAATGGAAAAAGACAATGGAAAATGAAATGGAAACTGTGGTTCTATAGGGGTTCTGTAGGGATTAGGGTTTCCCAAACTTAGGGGTACCTTTCCCCATAATAAGGACTCTCATGTAGGGGTTCTATAGGGATCCAAGTATGTTTGATATGACATGGGAGACCATGCCTTGCTCTGGTTGCCAACAGCCTCCACCGTGTACTCTGGCTTCGTGACATACCTGGCAACAGGGTCTCGAGGGTTTAGGGTTTAGGGTTTAGGGCAGGAAGCACAGGTCCCAGGTAGCACCAAAGACGGTGCTCATAGGAATGGAAAAGAAACTGGCAACTACCATCGTACGTTGGGGTATATATATATATATGTACATTTATGTGTATATATGTATACATGTATATATATATATATGTGTGAGCTCTACATAACCTCTACTCCTGGTATCCCCCTTGATAACCCCTATGGTAGTCCCATTTTGTATATTCCTATATTCCTATATAACCCCCTTCAAGGAGTTGAGACCCTAAACCTTACTCCCTAAACCCTAGACCCCATATTATCATCCCCTATATAACTCCCCCTTTATGGTAGTCTCCTGTATATTCCCCTAAATAACCCTTTCAACGAGTTTAGATCATAGCCGCCCTAGCCCCCTTAACCAACATCATAATATACTAGTTTCCATTTTCATCATCCCAATTACCTGTAATCATAATAGTTTCCATTTTATTTTACACGGGAGCCAAGCCACTTGGTCAATTGCTTCAGGACTTTCTCTGGAATGTTGTCCTGCAGCTGGGCTGCTGTTAAAGAATTTAATTTAATGGGTATATAGGGATATATGGGGATATATAGAGAGAGTCTAGGGTTTAGGAACTGAATTTAAGTTACTATATTGGAGAAACCCGATTAGTCACTATATACACCCGTTATGGTAGCTTATTTCAGTTCCTTGAGAGGATACCAGGCAAGTGAGGTCGACAGCCAAAGCGGAAAGGTCAGCTTCTACAGCCACAGCTGCAGCCTTCGCACTATAATAATATCAAAAATAAAAGTAACAATAATAGTAATAAAAATAGTAGTAATAATAGTAAAAAAATAATAGTAATAATAACAATAGAATTCATTTCTAATAATATTAGTAATAGTACTAGTAGAAATAAAGCATTAAGGGGTCCTTGTCAAAGCCTTTCAAGTCTTGCAGGAAAGTCGGGCGGTTCAGGACCTTCTTGGCCGTGTCCCAGTCTGGCTTCTCTTGCAAAAGCACATTGACCGCCTGACAGAGGTATGATGGTCCCAAGCGAGATTGGTACTGTACCTACCCCTAAGCCCTAAACCCTAAACCCTAAACCCAACACTGACACATTTGAGATCTCGCCCACTGGCGCACATGTTGCTCTCAAACGGCCAGCCACGAGCGCAAACGGCTCGTTGGCTAATTCCAGCCGATGCCATTCTGTCCAGAAGAAACACGTGGGATCACCAAAGGTTAACCCTCTAAACCCTAAACCCTTAGCGGTTTATCTTGTAGAGTTCCCTTCTCCCTGAACATGACGAGAGAGCCAGACAACTCCTAACCTTGACAGCTTTTCCACAAAATCACAATGAAAATATCTTCCAGGGGGTTAGCAGGGAATTAGGGAATGTAATGCCTATATAATCCTTCTATAACATATTCCTTGGGAGGACCCCCCACCCTGTAATAGTGGTATAGTAGGAATATACGAGGACCCTCATATAATCCTTGTTATCCATTATAGTCACTATTACTGGGTGGGGGGTCCACCTAACATATTCCCTTATTCTCTACTTACGCCCCCGCGTAGGATATAGTCATCTGAGTAGTGTTTTTTTGGGGGGTTGAACCTCGTAAGATTATATTCCTTCTATAATATACCATACCCCAAAATGAGGGTATTATCTTACTCTATAATGGGTACCATAATATCCCCAAATAAAATACTATATCCCCAATATAACCCCTATATAACTCAAGTTTCCATTTCATTTTCCATTTTCTTTTCCATTTGATTCTCCATTTGATTCTCCATTATTGGGTACCATAGTATCCCCAAATACAATACTCCTCATCTAGAATCTCAGCCGAAGGAGGCTTGAGGCTGGACCCTTAAGCTTGGACTCTTTCAAGGATTCCCCACTACTACACCCTGTCTATGGGAATTTTCCCAAAGTTAGGGGTACCATTTTGGGAGTTCCCATAATAAGGACTATAGCATTTTGAGGTGTATGTTGGGGTCCCTCTATTTTGGGAAACTACCATATATCGTCCAATAGACCCCCTAGGCCCTAGGCGACCTCAAGGGTCCCTTAGATTCCCCTAAAAAGGACCCCGAAATACCCCTAAATCGAGGGGTCCAGCATTAGGGGTCCAACTTTTATAGAAGAACCTCCAAATCCTCTTATGTCTGGTATTCGAGAACTTTTAATCCACACAGTTCGACAAAGGCATGGTGCACAACACACAGAACTCGCTTCCAAACCTCCATTGTCAGCATCACCAGTGGCGGAGGCTTGGCAAAGGATTTGATCTCCTGCAAAGTAAATCAACTATAGTAGTTTCAATGTTGTTGTACCATTATGACAATCGAGCCGCAATATACTGTAGTAGTTTCCATTTTTCCATCATCCCAATATAACCCCAGTATACTATAGCAGTTTCCATTTTTCTCCGTTATCCCAATATATAACCCTAAACCCTAAACCCTAGGTCAGTTAGCCCAGTATAGTATAAGATGTTGCGTGGGTGTAGCAGCTAAAGCGGCTTCAGCAGCTAGCTGACCTAGGGTTTCGCGGTTTAGGGCTTATATATTGGGATAATGGAAAATGAAGTGGAAACTACTATAGTACATTGGGGTAATACTAGGGTCCCTGTCCTGAATATCCTTCTTGTCCAAGGCATCCAAAGACTTCAGCGCACCTAAGCATGTCGACATGCAAGTGTGAAAAATGCCCCTGAACTCCACGCGTCAAACCTGAGAGTTTCCTCAGCTACCCCATCCCCTTGCCGCATTCAACTTTTCTGCTCAGGACGCGTCACCGTCTTTTTCTCAAATGTCTTAGCCGGGGCGCTTTCAAGGGCAGGCATCGCAATGTCCAAATCTCTTTGGGCATCATCTGCAATGGCCTTCACTTCGTCTGCCTGCTTCCTCACGACAACCTGTGAGAACCATGCAGGCTGAGCAAACTACCAAAGATGCCACATGTACTATGGTCTAAACTCCTGAAAGGGAGGTTATATAGGGGATTACATGGGGAACTTTTGCAGGGGTTGTTAAGGGGGATACAAGGAGTTTAGACTATAGCTCACATGGAGCAAGCAAGTACAGACATGGTAGAGGACAGTCTCGGATTGCTTGCTTGGCCTCCTCGCTGGAAACTTTCTCCTTGATGACTTCAGCCTGCAGCGACTGCTTGGAGGGTCAGTGGGATTTGGTGAGTAGGCTCATTATGGGGATAAGTATGGTTATTATACGGGTCATACGGGTTATTGACCTGCTTACTAAGTTCCCCTGACCCTCCAAGCAGCAATCACATGGCCCTCGTACTTACTTCCTGGTGTTTCACGACATGCTTTCACTCTTCACATCCTGCCTTCTTCTGCTCCTCCGTGACAACTGGCACCAGCTCATCTGCCTGAGCATCACAATTGTGGAACCTTGCTCATACGCAGCGGGGGTAATAGTAATAATAACAATCGTTATAGTAATGATAGTAATGATACTACGAACGATAACAGTAATGATACCAATAGTATTAATCAATAATAACAATAAACCTAATAATAATGATTATCATTAGAACAGCAGGGCCTCCTTGATCTTCTCCGAGATGACAGGAGCCAGCTTTGTTAGCTCTTCTTGGAGATTGTTCACGAATTCGTTCGCCTGCCCATGAACCTAAAATAGGAATTACCAGATTTTATGGGTGTATAGTAAAAAGCAGGATTTCCTGATTACAGTGGCTTAATCTAAGTTCCTCAACAGCAACCCAGACTTTCATGCATAGCCCCAAACACGCTCCGACGCTGGCTATAAAGCCTCGTCAATCTTGTCAACGCCGGTCTGCAGACGCTTCAAGGAGACGTCTTTCTCCTCCTTCTTCTCTTGGATCATCTCCAGGTACAGACCTGGTATCACATGATGAGCAAAATTAAAAACGTCCTTCTTGCGAAATTCTCTGCATTAGCAAGAACTCTATGAACAGCTAACAATCCTACATACAAGACAAGTACCAGGACCTCTCACTTTCGCTGCGGGCGCCAAGAACATGAAGGCGAACAGAAGCAGCAACCACTTCTAGATCCTAAACCGCAAACCCTAAACCCTAAATCCTAAACCCTAGGCCCTAAATCCTTAATTACTCCTAAACCTTAAATCCTAAATCCTACACCCTAAACCCCACCAGGGCCCGAACTGATGAGGTCCAAGTATGACTTCGGCGTGACATACACCTTGCGCCTGACAAAGGCCGACACTTTTTGCACCCCTTGACACATCAGTCTTAACAGCCTGCATAAAGATGGGCCGGCTTTGTTATTGTTACCGCTAATTCTATTAAGGTTACTATTATTAGGCTGCGCCCTGGGCGTTTGCCCGGAATTTATCCGCTGTCAAGCCTATCCGCTGTCCAGCTTCGTTAACAAGAGCATACGGTTACCAGAGCATCCATGCCAACACCATAATAACGTTCGTGTTCCGAGAGCCGAGCATCCATGCCAACAGAGCATCCATGCCCAAACCATAATTCCGTTCATCTTATAATGAGTGCGATTACCAGAGCATCCATGCCAAAACAATAATAACCTTCGTGTTCCTACAGCATGCGGTTACCAGAGCATCCATGCCAAAACAATAATAACCTTCGTGTTCCTAAAGCATGCGGTTACCAGAGCATCCATGCCAGAACCATAATAACGTTCGTGTTCTTAAAGCATACGGTTACCAGAGCATCCATGCCAAAACCATAATAACGTTCGTGTTCCTAAAGCATGCGGTTACCAGAGCATCCATGCCAAAAATGCGGCCATCCTGTACGGGAAGCAACAATTCGTGCGTTCGTTCAGAACGACTAACCAAACACAAAGCCGGACAGCAGGAACCACTGCGCAGACTGCTGAAAACAAGCGAGAAGCTTCGAGAATGCGCGTTTTTCAATTCGTGTGAATCGTTACACATTCAGGATACCTCAGACCAAAAAAAACCTGAAATCGTGCCATCCACTCACGGAAAGAAAAATCGCGTATTCCGTGCATACGCACTGTGCTCCGAAGGGCACGAAACACTGCGCACAGTGGTGAAAACGAACATGCCGATTTTGCGGCCTGACATGACAAGCAAATCGCATGTTGCAAAACCTTCGAAAACCTCCAAACACTGTAAAACGTGGGTTATTCGCACACGTGACCGAATCGCGTCCGGGCAAACGCCCATTAGTATTGTTGCTATTTGACGATTCTTAATATTATTGTTGTTACTACTATTGCAACTATGATTATAATGAATTTTGTTATGAATACTGTTACTTGCCATTTGTCTACGGGTCTCCCCATCACATTCCCCGCCCACGCTGGCTGCTCTGCTGGGCGAATATGGGCGAATAGTGAAATGGCGTTCCCGGCTCGCTGACCGTTTCGCAAAATGGGGGGACCCAACTATGGACCCCAAAATGCGATGATCCTCTTTATAGGGCTAGAGAGACCCCCAAAAAAGGAACCCTCAATCTTTGGAAACCCCAACTCCTGTAAACCATATCATCCCGGGCTTCCATTTCATCTCCATGTTTCTTAGGGTATACATATATATATATATATATAACCCCAATATGCGGTTTAGGGTTTAGGGTTTAGGGTATATATATATATATAACCCCAATATAGTAGTTTCCATTTTGCTTTCCGTTATCCCCATAGAACCCCGATATAATCCCTATAATCCCTAATGTTGTGGAAATTCCAGCTGTCAGCCCAACACAGAAGTTTCTCAACCCCTGCGGGCCTGAGCCGCTCTTCGAAAACAGCAGAAGTTCGAATAACTTCTTGGTGCACAAAGCAGCATGCCTGCCATGTTGCTGTGAGGAGTATAGACCATGACATGACCACTTCCAAAATCAATTATTCAGGTGTGTTACCGGCCTTTGACACAGACTCCTTCAACTCTTCACTGATGCCCTGCATTCCAGATAACCTTGCCAGAGGTGAGCAGCTGCGATCTCTAGAGGCTTTAGGCTGTGCCTGCCTCACAGATCTCCCTGAATTCAAGCTCTGCATCCAAGCCACTGTCGGGCGGAGACACCTAGCAATGCCTGGCGCAGCCATCACAGTTGCAACAGGCCCGACAGAATGGCAGTAGAGTTTTCAAGGAATCCTTTGACTATCCCTCATGGAAATCCCCTACCAGGTAATCCCCATGTGCCATATGAGTCATATGTTTCTATAGGGTCCTGAAGACGCCGTATGGGAGCCCAACAGAGACCCCAATATACTGTTATAGGGACCCCCAAAAAGGTAGCCCTAATTTTGGGAAACCCTAACCCCTGTAAACCCCTATATATAGAGTATAATCACAGTTTCAAGTTCATGTCCATTGTCTTTTCCATTTGATTCTCCATCAATATGGGAAACCTCATATTGGGCACCCAAACTTATGGAAACCAAAATTTCTACAACCCTTATCATCGGAATCGCCCCACGAACCCCAGTCTGTTGAGGAAAAACATGACCGCTATAAAGAACCATATGAACCATACTCTAAACTCCTTAGAGCCGGTTATATGGGGGATTATATAGGGGACTACTATAGGGATTATTAAGGGGGATACTAGGAGTTTAGACTATTACTCATATAGACGCAGTTTCCGTTTTGCTTTCCATCGTTTTTTCAATTTAATTCTCTATCATTAACCCCTTTTAACCCTATAACCTTACAAGCCCTATGAGACCCGATAAATCCCCATAAACCCTACATGACCCTGTAAGACCTGTATAACCTTATAGAACCTACTATGTAATCCCCATAATCCCTGCATGATCCTACAGTCCCTAATGCTTTTTATACCCAAGTAACCCTACATGGCCCGGTAACCCAAAAAGCCCTGTAAAATCCCCGTAATGCCTGCATAATCCTGTAGTCCCGAATATTCTTTAAGTCCCCACATGGCGCCGCTGCTAGCCTCATCTGGCCAAGGAAGAAACCAGTCGATGGTACAGCAATTCACGAGGGCCGGGAACATCCGCATCCTCACCCTGCAAGGACGGATTAGGGTTTAAGATTTAGGATTCAGGGGGGTTAGGGTTTAGAGTTCAGGGTTTGGAGTTTAGGGTTTGGGGCGCAGGTTTTGATACCCAAGAAATTCTGCATCGGCATGTCAAACAATGAGGCCATGAAAGCGTATATATACACATACATCTACATATACACATACACTAACTACGCCCTGGTAACTTCTTGTAGCTTTCACTTTCCAACTCTGAGTCCGTTCCTTGCAGGCTGCTAGCAGCTTTCATCCCTTCGAAGTACTTATTCGGTATCCTTTGACTACAATATGAGCTATGGTCTAAACTCCTAGTATGCCCCTTAATACGCCCTGTAAGACTCCCCTATATACTGTTGATGGAGGAAATCTTGCACCACCTTAAGTCCTTAAAGTCCTAGGAATTACAGTAGTTTAGGGCCCCTAGGTGGTGCAAGATTGCATCCATCAACAGTATAATCTCCTGGATACCCCCCCCTTCCCCGTAAGGAGTTTAGACTCTAGCTCGTATCAGTCTTGGAAGCCGGCCGCAATGCAGATCCCACCGGTGACATTGTCAAGACCTTGGCTTGCCACCAAATGCTTTGAAGCTACATAACCATGGGGTCTATAGGAGGTGATCGAAGGGATAGGGGGACTTAGTAAGTGGGTTAATAACCCCTATAACCAACATAAGAACCCTACTCACCCCCATTAATTATTGACGTACTTATTAAGTCCCCCAGACCCTCCAAGCAAGAATGGAAAAGAATAAGATGGGAACTCTGATTGCATCCATGCTGAGCTTCTACTGCATGCCTGGTCGATACAGATAGTCTTCATTTTGATATGGGGGGTTTCCCAAAAGTAGCTGTAGTTTTTTGGGGATAGTAAGGATTATAAAGTATTGGGGTTTATATTGAGGTCCCTCTATTTTGGAAAACTGCCATATGTTGTTGGCCTGGTCTGTTTCATGCTGACACCGGCCAAGCCCTGCGAAAACAATTCCCAGAGAAAACTGCATTACTAATGCACTCCATAACTGTACCCAAACTTCCCTGAGCTTCGGGGCAATGTGCAAGTTGTCACGCACGCTCTCCACGAAGAACTGCCAAACGGCATCTTTGGCCTGAAGGGTTTAGGGTCTAGGGTTAGGTTTTTTAAGACCAGTGGACTGTTACGTCTGCCCGAGAGCACTGGTGTCTTTGAACCTCAAAAGCAGTTTGCAATGACCGCACTTAGCAGCATTCAAGCAAGAAATCTGCCGCCCTAAGCCGCAAAACATGACAGAGCACAATGCTGCACCAGTCAAAATCCATGTAAACTGGTTTCTGCGCATATGCACTCACTCGGTCTGAGACCCCACACTGGGGTTTGGAGTTTAGGGTTTAAGGTTTTGGGTTTTGGCGGTTAAGGTTTGCAGCTGCATGAGTTGAGATGTCTTTGAAAGCTAGCTGCACGCACTTCACCGGATGATCGCAAACGGCGAAACCAGCTGCGCACTCTTTATAACCGGCCTCCATATTGTAGTTTCCACGTCATTTTCCATTTATTTGCACCATTTGATTCTCCAAAAACCCATATATACTAAGAGAAGCTATATATATGTATGTATTCCTATAAGCCCTATAAACTCTCTATAATCCCTATACATCCTCTATAATCCCTATGAACTCGATATAACCCCTGTAAACTCTCTATAATTTCTATAAATCCTCTATAATCCGTATAAACCTTCTACGATCCCTATAAACTCGATTAACCCCTATAAACCCTGTATAACCCCTATAAAGTCTCTAGAATCCCATAAACTCTCTATAATCCCTATAAGTTCTCTAACAAAGTCTCTATAATCCCTACAAACTCTCTATAATCCCTGTAAACCCATTATGATCCATAAACCATCTCTATGATCGCTATAAACCCTACATTAATCCCATGTGCCTTGCCTCACTTCGGCCCATCTCCTTGGCCCTCGGCCTCGGCTTTGAAGTCAGAAACATCTCAGACTCTCAACCCCTAAACCCTTACAATGTATAATCCCTGTATACCTCTATAGAACCCCTATGCAACCGCCATAAAACCCCCTTATAGAATCCCTATAGCACCCCTGTATCCCCTCAGCATCTAGAAATCTGGGACTTGGCTTGAACTACAATTCCCAAAATATAGAAATGCATGTAGGCACTCAAACTGTAACAGGCACCCCACTATAAGGATTCGTACTTGCATGAATTTAGGGAGATCCTCAATCGCGTAATTCATGAAGCCGATTGACCCAAACAAAACTGCAAGAGGCGGTTTCCAGAACTTATGCCACCCGCCATACATGTTTTGCAAAAAATGGCATGCATGTTGTTTCCTAAACATACTCATGGAACCAAAAAGTCGTAGGTGTCCGGTCCTTTACATCCCGAACATCTGTAGGTGCACGGTCACTAGGGGGTCCCCTCGGTGCTTTGTCTGCTTCTCACTCAGAGATCACGCCACAATTTAGACAACAAATTGTAGTAACAAGCATAGACATAGGCTTGGCACCCATCGCAAAACGTGGCACCGCAAATGCCCAGCCGCTCAATAGTTGGGAGCCTATCGCAGCACGAACAGCTACCAACATCACAATTCATGTTGGCTGGCGCTGCTCTCTTCAACAGATCCTTTTCCGCCTGGTTTCAGCTGTGCTCTTCGGAATCTATCTAAATGGCAGCTGGATGCATCTAATTCCATGTCCATCTCGGACCTATTTCCGGAATCCATTTGCCTGGTCGCTGGATGCATCTAATTCCAAGTCCATCTCGGACCTATGATGGAGGCGGACTCAAGCGGCGAGAGGTACGCGTCGAGGCACCGCGTTGTTGCGCTTAGGCAACGGCTCTGGAAACTTGACTACCACAACAATGGCAGCAGCGTTGTCTGCTCGGCTGACATTGGCAGCGTTTTCAGTAACTGCTGCAGCTGCATCCTGTGGCTTCTCATTGGTGCGAAGTGCCTTGCGAGCGTGGGTCATCACAAATTGGTCCTTGAGCGCATCCCAAATTCCATCCGAATCCAGGAGGAGGAAGTCTGCGCTCTCATCAACCTCAATCTGATACACGTCAGGATCACTAACAATGCCAGCTACTTTGCTGCCACGCTCGTAGTCCACATTGCCAAATGCCCTCGAGACTGCAACATGTTCTCCGACATATCCTCCTTGCACTTGCACACCCAACTTTCGAAGCCGTTCGGCTTCGGCCTCATTCTTGGATGGCGAGTGTTCCTTTGAGATCGGGTTGGGCTTGTTGCCCTCAGTGATCAAAACGGCCCGGCAATCTCCTAAGTCAGCAATCCACATCCGGTTGCCTTTGATGAGCGCCAGACATGCTACGGTCCCAGATGAGACCTTGCAATCCGCCATTTGGCCTGCTCCGAATAAAAGTATTTTTGTCAGCTCATCATCCACGGCATGGAAGGCCTTGCGAATTCACGAGTTCAGAGGAGTGTTTGCCTCCGATGCCTGAACGTTTGGTGCTGCCTGCTACAGTTGTGCAGTGCCCCTGATGCCGCTTACTGCTGTGCCTTTTTGCTTGAACTCCCATAAGGGAACCCTTCAGCCTAGACAGCACTGCTAGAGTGCTGTAGAAGCTACGTGTGAGCCATACCTGAGTGGCAAAACAAAGCTTTGTGTGCTGCGAGTCTTTGTGCTGAGTGTTGCGCAAGCTAGCAGTGCTTTGGACGTTTCCTCAGAGGAGCGACCTTGCTATCAGAATTGGTAGCGGAGCCTACCTCGAAAGAGGAGGCTCGTGTGAAAAAGGGGAAAGCAAGAAGAGAGCGTGCCTGAAAGATCCAGGGAAGAAACTTCGCTGCTGTGGCCCTTCCTTCGGTCTCGCCTGGCTGCTGCCGACTTCGTCCTTCTCTTCGACAAGGCCGGCTGCGGCGAACTTGTCTTTTCTCTTCGGTGCGACCGGCTGCTGCTGGACTTACGGCCCCTAGATGGACAGGAGCCGGGACGCCGTGCCGACATGGGACGGAGAGGCCTCTGGATGGAATACCTATGTGAGGCGTGTCCGTCTTCAGTGGGAGAGAACAGCGAACCACAAGAAGAAGCTACTTGGTGCCGAGCTGGCTAGCAGATTGACTGGCCGTGCTTGGGACGTCAGTGGTGACTTGGACCATGCCCGGCTCCAGACACGCCACGGCCCTGTGTACCTCCTGGAGTACTTGGAGCAGAGGCTTGGTCGGACTCCTATTCCTGACCTGGGCAGCCGGCTCGAGGAGTTTCTGGCCCGGCTTCGAAGGCAGCCTGGGACTCGGATGGTCCAGTGGGCTGCTGATCTTCGGGAGAGCTATAGGCGGCTGCAGCGTGCTCTCGCTCGTGCTTGCGGAGGAACGACCTCTTCCCCGAAACGCCGAACGGCGAAGCCTACTGGATCGACACCTTCGTCCTTGCAGCTTCCCATCGACAGGCGGCGAAGCGACACCACAGCCGAGCCGGAGCCGGCGGATGATGGACACGACCTGGACCAGGATCAGGCTCCAGACCCGCCAGTGGCACCCAGAACCTGAGTGGGAGTTGAGAAAATCGATGTCCTCCCCCTGAGGTGCTTGGATGGATGCTGCTTCGCCGTGCCCATCTTCCAGCTCATGCCCGACTTGCCGTCTTGGCGGCCACCAACAACCGACTGGACTGGACCTGGTGGAGAAGGCCATGAGGGACCAGGAGGAAGACCTGGTTGAGGCGGATGAGCGCCGTGGACGCAGGCACTCGTACTGGGTGGGCATATGGGGCTTGCTGATGGACGACCCCTTTCCAGACGACAACCTTGCGGACGTCCACTGGGTCGGAGATCGCCTTCCCGAAGAAGTTCACCCCGCCTACGCCGCAGAGGACGAGCCGGACACTTGGCGCACGACAAACCATGGAGACTCCGAGTCCACTGGACCTACCATGAGGGCGACTGGTGGACTGAAGATCCAGAAGGCGCCTGGTGGACGTGGTCAGATGCCAAGCCTTGGTTGGACGTGAACGAGGCCATGGTGGTGGACCCGGAGTCCGGGAAACAGATGTCCGAGCTCTTGGCCAACTTCCAGGACAGAGTCAGGACCTTCAGAGAGTCCAGGCAGCTTGTTGCCTCGAAGAATTCCTCGAGAGGCTTCTATCCCCTTAGCAAAGGGAAGTCGAAGTCAAAAGGGAAGGGCAACTTCAAAGGCAAGTCCAAGAAAGGGGCCCGCTACACATCGACTTCTTCCTCGACTTCTTCGCCGACGGCTTTGGCAGCGGATGGCGGCGGCAAAGGCGGTGGCCAACGGCCAGGAAGCTCTGCTTACACAGGGTGCTTTATCTGTGGCAGCAAGGACCACGACTTCCGTCACTGTCCGAAGAGAAGTCAAGGAAAGGGGGCAGCGCACTTCACCAGCGCGAACTCCGGCATCTACATGGTCCACGGCGCCGACATGGATGCGACCAACGGCACCACCCACGACGCGAAGGCCATGCAGGACGTGCCGGTGTATGCGGCCGCGGGCCCCGCTGCAGAGAACCAGCTGCTGTGCTACATGCACGTGGGCCATGGAGATCCTGAGGCTGGCCGGTCCGAGCGTCATTCCAGAGGAAGCTTTGTCTGTGGCAGGGCAGTTGTACCCTGGCTTTGCTGTGGTGGACAGCGGGGCCACCGAGACCGTTGGAAGCTTGGATGCGCTGGAGGCCGTGGTGTCGATGAGGCGCCGGCAGTACGGCCTGGAAATGTCCAGGTGTTCCCCGACGCCCAGCGCAACTTCCGGTTCGGCAGCGGCCAGCAGCAGCGGGCGACTTCGTTCGTGGAGGTGCCCCAGACTCTGAGTGGGCGGGCTGTTGCTTTGGGCGTGTATGCCCTGGATGTTCCCAGAGTTCCCATTTTGCTGAGCATCCGGACGCTGAAGCGTCTGGGCTCGGTGATTGACTTCGAGAAGAAGACAATCATTTTTAAGGCTATCGACCCGGAGGTGACCATTGCTCTTCACGAAAGTGCTTCTGGGCATTTGCTGCTTGACCTTGCGCACGACTGGCTGCGACAGCCAGGCAGCAGCCCGAAGAATTTCTCCGGAACTGTGCTGAGCAGCGTCATGTCCCGATACAAAGAGAGCGAAGGGGTAACAGGGGGACAACAGGAAGCAGCATCGAACCAGCCGGGAGCCACAAACACACAAGAGCAACAACAAGCAAGTCAACGGCAAGTTCCCCAAGGACCCGAACCAGGACCTCAACATTCTGGAGACAGCTGTTGCATGCCTGCCGTGGAAGTGTCATGTGGGGAAGCGCAAGGGTCTGAGCAGACATGTTTGAGCCGACAGCAGCTTCCTTCTGACATCCCAGTGTACAACATGGCAGTGGGGATCAAGACGATCATATGGGATCGCTTTCGAGCTTCCGCGACCTTCCTGGACATCCTCCTCGCCATGGCCGACCGCAAGGCTCCCGTGCAGAACACCGCGCCTCCAGCTTCGACGGCAGCGGCTTCGAACGAGATCCCCAAGTCGAAGGCACGACCCAAGAAGGCCCACCGCGTGAAGACCGAGTACGACCTCGATCGCTCGACTGGGCCAGATCCAAGGGATCCTCGAACAGCGGGAGCCCCATGCTTCGGATCCCACCAGATCATGAAGCCGGGGCGCGGATCACTGAGCGGCGCAAATGCCCATGGCCGCTGGGAGGTTTGTCAAAACTGCCGGCTTCGAGTCCTTTACGTCCCAGCAGTCGGAGCTCATGCCCATTACCGCCAGGCAGGGCCTTTACCTCAGGACACTGCGGCGGCGGCGCAGTTGCACAAGGAGAGAGTCGAGGCAGGTCAAGCACCCGAGACGGACAAGCTGAATGCGAAGAACGTCGCGCTCCAAGGAGCGGAGGACTCCCTCCTGAAGAAGCTGGAGCACGCGAGGGCCCAGAAGGCCAAGGCAGCGGGCAAGGCTGGATTTCGCCGGCCTCGACTACGACCACGGCGGCACCACCTCCGGCGGCGGCTGCGGCGACCAGCGGCTACCCGGAGGGCACGACCGTGAAAAAGGCGAACGACAAGACGAAGGGCATGACCATGGAGAAGGAGGACGACAAGACAAAGGGCAAAGACCGTGGAGCAAAGCCCAAGGCAAAGGCCGCGCCGGCAATGGTGGATTCCGAGTCGGATGGAGCCCCCATGGAGGCGGAGAACGAGGCCACGCGTGCGCCGAAGAAGGGTGCCAAGCGAGATCACAACAAGCCAGCCGAGGCGCAGGAGAACGAAACCATTCGAGCCAAGGCCAGCCCGACCACGAGCAGCACGGACGGCAGCTGGCAGCAAGTGTCACCATGAACCTCGATGCGGATGGCTTCTTGGTGTCCTTCGGCCGGCTCACCGAGGGCGAGGCGACGACGATCACGGAGTCCATGAAGGGCGTGACCGCCGACATCGACGAGGCTATGGCCGAGATCCCCAAAGCGGTGCCTCATGGCATAGACCTCCTGGAGGTGCGCTGTCCGAGTGACAGCAGGCTGTCTGAGGCAGTTCGGGGGCGAGGTGGTCAAGCCGGACGAGTTGGACTCCCCATCTTTGACCTGTGCACAAAACACGGACGGAGCGCTGGCCCAGGCACAAGCTCTACATCCTCGATACATGTGGATCTCGACCCCTTGTGGACCTTTCTCTCCGATCCAGGCCTTGTTCAACGAGGCCACCGACGATGCCAAGCGGAAGAGTGGATATCGCAAAAAGAGGGCTCGGAAGGTGATCCGTGCAGCGATCAAGATGGTCTATGCCGAGACCATGTTGCCTGGGAATGGCCTTCCAACAATGGTGGCTGGAAAGAGCCCGAGGTGAAGAAGCTCATGAACTACATGGCCAAGCAGGGCTTCCTCTACACGACCCTGCTGGATGGCTGCATGATGGGCGTGACCACACCGCCCGACGATGATGCGCAAAACCATTGCCCAGGTTGTGCTGACCTCTGGCCATGAATCAGCGAAGGTGGCCGAGGACTGGATCTATGGGCTTCAAGAAGAACCACTGCTACAAGGCAAGCTTGCCCCAGAAGATCGGAAGAAGGCAGTGGCCTTAGTACATCGTTTACATGTTCGCGCCGGACATCCTTCGAAGAAGCTGCTCGCCAATGTTCTTCGCGCCCGCGGTGCTCACCCAGAGGTGGTCAAGATTGCCCTTGACCACGAGTGTGCCGACTGTCAGGAGATGAGACTCCCATCCTTGTCCCAGAGTGTGTCGCTGCAGCAGAGTGATACTCCGTGGAAGGTCATTCAGATCGACAATGCCGAGCTTCGTGTGGATGACAAGGTGACGCACTTCATGGTGATCACCGACGAGGCCACCCACTACATGAAGGTGATCAAGCTCTTCGAGCGCGACGTCCAGGAGGGCCGCAACGCGACTGCCGAGGAGGCCATCCTTTCAATCGAGCAGGGCTGGATCCAGTCCTACGGCTTCCCCGACCGGATACGGCTTGACCCTGAAGGGTGTTTTCGCTCGAGAGCTCTTGAAGATTGGGCAGCTGAACGTGGTGTGGAGATGACACCCTGTCCGGCCGAAGCTCACAACCAGATCGGCCAAGTTGAGTCTTTGATTGGCAAGGTGAAGCAGGATGCCATCACTCTCCTCTCCGGCATGCCGATTGGTGCCCATCGGGCTTTGCTGCACAGCGCCGGAGCTCACAACACTGTACATCGAGTCCAAGGCTTTAGTCCTGTCCAATGGGCTTTTGGGCGGGACTTCAATCCTGAAGGCCGTCTTTTCGACACCGAGCAGGGCGTTCCTTTTCTTCAGAATGCCACGACTCCTGGGCACACCTTCTACGACCAGATGAGTGCAAGACAAGCCGCGGAAGACATTTCGAGGAGGTCTCAGGCCACCTACCAGTTGGGCCGTTTGCTCAACATGAGGAGGAGGAGAGCTACCAGGTTCGTCCCCGGAGACTTGGTGTTTTACCGCCGAGCGCAACCTCCTGCTGACACCCCGGCTCATCCCGGACTTGGCTTCGCGAAGGTTGGTCAAGGAAGGTGGTTTGGCCCAGCTCGAGTTCTTGCCAGCGAGACGAGAACGGACGCTCAAGGACAGGAACGACGACCAGCGCACACGGTGTGGATCACCGCAAACGGCCGGCTGAAGCGATGCGCTCCTGAGCAGCCGAGCAGCTACGCCACGCTTCCGACAGAGAAGCTGCCATCGCTGAGGCCTCTGAGACGGTGACCCCGACGTGGACCTTCCACAGTCTACTTCAGCAGCTCAACCCGGGTGCCTACGACGTCTACGACGACCACGTGTTTCCTGAGGACATACGAGTTCGACCTGCACGAGGACGTTCCCGAACACCAGCTCGTGAAGGTGAAGGGCGAGACCACCCGGAAGAAGAACAAAGAACGAGGTCACGGACACCGGCGAGAGACGACAGAGCCCCAGAAGCGGCTCCAGTTGAAGACCAGCCGGAAGAAGGACAAAGGAACGAGGTCACGGACACCGGGCGAGCAAACCAGCACTGTTCGTAAGGTGCGTGGTCCAGACAGGATCGGTCCTTTGAGAAATCCTGTTACGCCTTCTACCTCTTCCACACAGCCTGACCCGAGCACCGTGACCACTGACGGCCCGAGGTACTTGAACGACCCCAGCTACGACCCAACGTTGTTCAGGTTCCTACAGGACGAGCAGGCTCGACAAGGTCTGAGGAGCTGACCTACAGCGCCAACCCCTGTTCAAGAAGCAGAAGCAGGCTCACGCGCAGCGCGCGCAGCAAGGCTCCCGTCCCGCTTCGACGACTCGAACGACGTCCTTGCCTCTGGCCTCGGCGACTCAGATAGCGGAGGACTACGTGACACAGCCAGAGGAGGCCAGCCAGGACTTCTACGTGGACGGTGATGTGTGCCATAGAGCTTCCTGTTCCTAACAAGGAGTCTGAATGGAAGCGCCTCAAGCGTGATGCCTCTGCCTGGATGGCAAAGGGACTTCGAAAACAAGAAGTCTCGTACAGCAAGCTTGATCAGGAGGGCCGCAAAGGCTTCGACAAGGCCAAGGAGAATGAGGTCACTCAATGGATCCAGGAAGCTGCAGCAAAGCGCATAGAAGGATACGTGCCGAGGCATCGTATCATGCGCATGAGGTGGGTCCTTACGTACAAGGAGACCGGTGCCCCGAAAGCGAGAATAGTCATAGTTGGCTATGAAGATCCGGACATAACGTCCTTGGTCTCTAGCTCTCCAACGATGTCTAGACGCACGCGGCAACTTGTTTTCCAGCAAGCCGCTTTGCGGTCGTGGCGTACGTTAATGGCCGATGTAAAATCGGCTTTCCTCCAGACCGCTCCCACGCAGCTTTCGAGAGCCGTGTTCGCGCGGCCGGTTCCTGAACTCGCCAAGGCGATGAACCTCAAAGAAGGGCAGACCATACAGCTCGCAAAGGCGGCGTATGGGTTGATAAACGCTCCGGCCGAGTGGCACCGGGATATAAATCGCACGTTAACCTCTCTTGGTTTTATCCAATTACGCACGGAACCGTGCTGTTGGAAATACGTGCGGTACGAGAATGGAGTTCCACGCCTTTTAGGCGTCGTGCGCGCCCACGTTGATGACTTTATCATTACAGGGTGTGAGCAGGATCCTGAGTGGGTCGCAGCAGTCTCCGGATTCCATTCAAAATATCGTTTTTCCCCATGGGAGTGTGTGAGCTACAATCACTGCGGAGTGGCCGTTCGCGAGGGCAACAGTGAGTTCATTCTTGATCAGTCGACCTACTGTTCTCAGATCGAGGAGATCAAGTTTGAAGCCCGGAACGAAGACGATCTGGCCACGAAGGAGGAGATTTCGCAGCTCCGGGGAGTACTTGGTGCCGTTCAATGGCGCGCTTACAGCACCGCCCCTCAACTCCTGGCGCAGTTGAGCATGCTGCAGTCTACGATCAGCAAGGCCACGGTGAAGACCCTCAAGCTGGCCAACAAGCTCGTGAGAGAGGCTTTCCACAATCGCTTCCAGCACATCCGCATCACTGCCCTCGATGGCGTGGCTCCGGAGGAGGTGTGCTTTGTTGCTTGGAGTGACGCTGCAGTGGGGAACAGGCCTGACTTCGGGTCGACTGGTGGCTACTTGGTCTGTGCGACCACGCCTGCCACGCTGAAGGGAGAGACCGCTCCCGTGACTCCTGTGAGCTGGAGATCTGGACGCCTGCAGAGGGTAGCTAGATCGTCCCTGGCTGCTGAGACTCAAGCGGCGAGTGAAGCAGAGGAAGAGCTCATGATGGTTCGCTTGCAGTGGCGTGAGATGCTCGGCTACGAGGTCGACTTGAAGCGCCCTGGCAAGGATATCCTGAAGGTTCCTGCGGCCTTGGTCACCGACGCGAAGAGCCTCTACGACGTGCTCATCAAGGAGGACCTGAACACGACTGCAGCTGGCCTGAAGGAGAAGTACTCAGCTCTGGAGCTCCTTTCTTTGTCCGAACGGCTTCGTGAAGGAAAGACCAGCGTCCGGTGGGTCAACTCGGATGCGCAGGTGGCTGACGCCCTGACGAAGCCGACTCAAGGAGGTTCTCTTCAACAACTCTTGTCGACCGGGAGATGGACACTCGTATACGACCCGACTTTTACCAGTGCGAAGCGTCTAAGACGGCACTGACACCTGTCTTCGGCAGTGGGCTTTTGGGCGTCACGAGTTCAGAGGAGTGTTTGCCTCCGATGCCTGAACGTTTGGTGCTGCCTGCTACAGTTGTGCAGTGCCCCTGATGCCGCTTACTGCTGTGCCTTTTTGCTTGAACTCCCATAAGGGAACCCTTCAGCCTAGACAGCACTGCTAGAGTGCTGTAGAAGCTACGTGTGAACCATACCTGAGTGGCAAAACAAAGCTTTGTGTGCTGCGAGTCTTTGTGCTGAGTGTTGCGCAAGCTAGCAGTGCTTTGGACGTTTCCTCAGAGGAGCGACCTTGCTATCAGAACGAATGGCTTGCTCGACATCCATTTCACCATGAAGATGCGTTGCCAGCACTTTGGGGAAATTGCGCTTGACGGCGGACACGGCTTCATCTCCGGCATGCCCATCATACACCACGAACAGTCGGAAGCCGGCCACGTCCTCCTTGACGTCCACCGCGTCCTCCATTCTGCGGCGCTCATTCTTAGCAACCGCAAAACCAAAGTCTGGACCCCCACCGCTGCCTTCCTCAGGCAGCAGGGGCGCCTCCTTGCCTCTGTCGAGGCATGTGCAGAATTGTCTCAGAATCCACCACATGACCAGGGGTGCTCAAGCAAGTTGCCTAGCTTCTGTGGTAGCTGGGAGCCTTTTCGCGGCATTCGCACTTGCCAAGGCTTCATCTGAAACCTAGTCACGTGACCTGCTTTAAATTGCAAACATCATGTCTTTCCAGCTTTTGCGGGCTGAGAATGAGCTCGCTTGGCTTACCTCAAAACGATCAAGCCCCGGGCCGGGTGTCCGCTATGACGCGGTCAATCTCGTCGTTCGGGAAGAGATTGGGCACCTCCAATCTTTCGGGGGTTTCTCAAAAAGGGGGCCGTGGAACCCTACAGATACAAAGGTTTACAGAGGCATGAAGCTTGTGCAAGCACTACTCCGAGAGAATTCCTGTTTAGCTGGTTCCCTGAAAGTAGCACTTGTTGCTGCAGCAGCTACTGCACAAGTTGCATTTGCTGGCAAACGCGATCTTCTCGCGGGAGCATGGAACACGTCTTGTTGCTTCTGCCTCTCCTGCATTGAGGATATTGTTGATGTCCTCGAGGAATGTCTCATTGATGATCTGCGTGTCGCTCAGAAGGAACATCGTTGCCTGGCACTGCTGCTATGCCATTCTTATTGCACCTTTGCGTAATCTAATGAGTTTTAAGCAGGTTGGGGTGGAGAATCCCCTCAAATGGAGCTTTGGCCATGCCAAAGTATGGTGCATCGCGACAGAATGGTCAAGACAAGCCAAGATGCTTGCCTTGCTGAGCGTCAGTAGACAAGAAGGAAATATGACCCCTATATAACCCCTGTATTAGATATTCCTGCATTCTCTACTAACTCCCAGTAGGTTACTGCGGATTGTCTGTGGGGATTCTCTTGTTTGCTTGGCCTTCGCAGCTCCAGCACCTGCAGAGATCAGGAACTTCTTCTCATCTTCTCGGAAAGCATCAATGCCGTAGCCCTGCGCCCAAATCTTACTGGGGGTTAGTAGGGAACACAGGAATATATTCCATAGGTCTTATATGGGGATTATATGGGATTATGTTCCCTACTAACCCCCAGCAAGAAATGCGGGGGAAGCTTTGTCTGAAACGGGTGACTGCACAGGCCAAACAAATTATCAACAAAGGACGTTGACTTCCGGCTTGCGCACTTACCTGGGTTGCTGTTAAGGAACTTAAATTAAGTTACTATTTTGGGGAAACCCTATTACTTACTATATATTCCCATTATGGTAACTTAATTTAAGTTCCCTACAGCAACCCAGTTACCTTTCATCTCTAGGATTCATGGTTTCTGCAGCTGCGCCTTGGTCAGTGCAATGTTGAACTCGTTGGTCCTGAGCCCAAAGAGGTGACGGCTACGGGAGGAGCCGGGCAACGCAAAGAATATTAGGGTTATATTGGAAAAGAAAATAGAAGCTAGTATAATGGGTTATATAG